TAAGTCTGTATGGGGATGCCATTCAAGGTTTTGAAGAAGTTCAGCTCAAAGGCATTGTCTATGGGAAAATGATCCAGAGGAAGTCAGTCAGCTGAGTCTTGTCTATGGGGAACTGATCCGGAGGAAGTCAGTTAGCTGAGTTTCATTCGTCTTTTTTGCTAGTTGCAAAGCTGGCATTATACAGATAAAACCCATTGATTTTTAAGAGAAACACTCACTCTACTTAATCAGGCCCTAACTTATGATGTGCTAGTAAAATGTATTAAAGAATCCACATGCCCTTTCTCCCAAAACAGAACAAAGAGAGGTGGGTTCGGATCCCATGGGTTGAGAAGTGAGACTCCTGCAGGCATGATAATAATGGGTATGCCCTTATTTTAATACCTTTGCTCAACTGTTGCATCTCTGCTTGGACACTGCATTTGGACTGCTTTTAACAGGTTCCCATATCCAGGTCTGTGCATTTACTTTTATCTGTGCACAAACAGAAGCAACCAGAATGCGCATGCATCTAAACCAAAATGTTGAGAGTCCCACTAGGAAAATATCTTGACATGTTCTCTGTGGATTTGCCTGGGAGAGTTAAGTGTTCCTAATAGCTTTTCATCTCACAGAAAGCACTTCAAGATCCTAGCTTGCAGAGCTCATCTTACCCATTCCTAGTTGTCTCTCCAAGGAGCACCCTTCTCTCTTTGCTTGCAGCAGCTAGCTAGGTGCATGGTAAGCCCTCCTCTAGCACGGAGTCAGGAGATGATGTGTTTCTTGGCCCGCATTTCTCTGGCTTCATACCTGGCCAGGGTGGAAGAAGGGTCGAGTCATGCTCATAGTAGTTGCTATTGTTCTTTTGCACAATCACAGTCTTGTGGGGAGAGCCCAGGACTGAGAGTCAGGAGATCTGATAGGGTTTCTGGCCATGGAGAAGTCACTTTGTTTTGCTGTGCCTCGTTTTACCTCTTGGTGAAATGGGAACAGTAATTTTCTTGCAGGAGCACTGCTGCTTAACTCAGCATGCAGACGCTTGCTAGGATCGTCAAAAAATGACAGGGCTGTTCTTATCAGGAGCCAAGCACTGGCTTTACATAGCACATATATGCATACACTTGCTGTTCAGGCTTGAGGTAGTCCAAACTCTCTTCCTTTCCATAGATTCAGCATCTCCACGGTGTCTGTCACACGTTTATACACTCTCAAAAAACTCTAAACTGGGTGCATCTACATGTACCATTTAAGATGACATGACAAAGTTCGGTGCCGTTTGCTGCTCCCGGGTACAGCATTTGCATGTGTGCCTGGGACCACAGCACTTTGAGTGGAGGCAGAGCAGCCCCAGGTTGGCAGGGGATGCGGGGGATCAGTGCCAGGCTGTGTGATGGCTTTGGGTGACAGGGGGGCTGGCTGGGGCACAAGGGTGCTAAAATGTGGGGCTAGGTGGCAGACAGCCCCCTGCACTTTAGCACCATCATGCCCCAGACAGCCCCTGGCACCGTGTACACATGAATTTCAGCAGAGTAAATTAATCCACAGTAGGATAGTACTGTTCTCAACAGTACTATCTAAGGCAGAGTTCATTAATTTACTGTTTCTTAATACAGGTGCACATGTAGACTGTGATGCTTAACTACAGAGTTAATTAGTCAATTAGTCTTTATACTATTCTCAATTTAACATTCCTTCCTGGTAAAGAAAACATTGCATTCTCACTGTTCTCAGCTTCTTATTATCATCTTATCAGCCCCTGCCCCTGAAGCCTGAAGGCCTCTGCCCTCCTTGACAATATAAAACAGGAACATAGCTCCAATTACAAGAGTCAGGCAACAAAAAGCCTCACTCCTAACCACCTCGTCCTGTTTGGATTGGTGTTTTGCATTACATTGTGGGACTGTTGGGTGTCAGTGGTTAGGAATGCATGCTGTAAGGCGACTTCAGACACACCAGTATTTGTGCAATGTAACAGCCCTTGCCATATGTTCTCTCTGGGCTTGAGCTCAGTCTTTCGTAAATAAAATGCGATATCAGATGTGTCAAGGAAACTGTTATCTCAAAATGTGGTTTCCTGTTTCTGCACAGCTCAGACACTTGTGGCAAGTCAGTGCCTGTAATTGTGGCCAGAACTACTGTTAATATTCCTGGAAGAATATATTTTTATTTCTTTTGTTATGTTTCACCTTATCCCCAAAACTTCATCTGCCTTTTAATGAGCACTGACTTCTGGACTGAGACTCTTTTTAAGAATCAGGGTTGTGTTTGTGAGTTGGTGCCATGCTTCAGTCAGCAGTTAGGAAACCTTACTGAACTTTCCCATTAAGCCATGCTCTGTGCTGCTGTCAAAGGGCTTTTAGCTGTACTCCAGCTTAATACGGTATAGTTTGGTTAGCAAACTTGGTGCTCTTTACAGGGGATGAGTTGAACCAGTTCAATAACCAGTTCCCATTCCCAAGAGATTATAGACATGATCAGTGCAGTAGTAGTATACAAAATACTGCATGACCTGAGTGTAGCCCTTGCATATAGAATAGTTCATAGAATACGCACAGTAGGGATTTGGTGGGACGAGGGGGTGGGAATTTGGCTTATGTTAAAGGGTAGGGAATTGCAAGGCTGTGGTGTGGCACTAAAGAGAGCACGGAGTCTAAAGCAGGCAAAGAGGGGGAAATGGGCCTGATAAGGTGCTAACTTATATCAAATCTTCCCGGCCGTGCTGCTGACAGATTATTATGCTTTCACATGCCTGAAAGAAGCAGGTTAACCTGCCTGCAAAGGTTTGAGAGAGGCTTCCACAACTGTTCGTGTTTAAATGCATAAACTCACACACATCACATGCATTTCCAGCATCTCTTCCCTTGCAAAGAGTGTTTCATGTCATTGCAAGCCATTCCTCTCTTTCTAGGAGGTCCCTAACTCCAAGGCTTGAGTCCATGAATTTGGTGCAGTCTCAACAACTGGCCTACCTGCCGTCCTAGCTATATGAGCTCCAACTTGTGACCCATCCTATTTCAGTAGTGTTTCAGCTGTAGCTGTATTCCCTCTTGTTCTGGTGTGTTCTCCTGAAGTTTTCCATGCTGCCATGCCCACCATGGGCTGCTGGATATATAGGGCATAGTTAACAGTTAATGACTTTGCTGTTAGGCCCAACTTGTCCCATAGCGGAGCTGTTGAGTAGTTCCCTAGTGGCCACAGTGCACCTTTCTTGAGATAATACTTTGCTTTCTGCTAGTGTTCTGCCACCAAATGTGCAATCTAATCCACAGTGGTTTTGCACAAGGTGCAAATCTTGTTCGTGAAACCAAGTGGGATTGCACACGCCTATTTCCCGAACTGATACAATCAAGTACAGCAACTTTGACCTAGCAAACAGAGTGGAAATGGCTGCTCTGGAAGTGAGAGGAGCCATTCAAATGTGAACCCTGCCTTACCCCTCCCAGGAAATGCAGCTGCTGTGAACAGTCTTGGACAGGAGATGCATCCATGCAAAAAACTGCCTGGACACTTGATCTCTGCTGCTGACCTAGAAGCTGTCATCAGCCACTGAGGCACACGTTCAGTATTCCAAAGCAAAACAAGCCTGGTGTTATCAGGCAGAGTTATGTTACCTCAGTCTACAACCCCCCGACACACCCTCCCCGGGGGGTAAAAACTGGCAAGATTATTGTTATTAAGAGGTAACCCTTACATCTATATTTATATTTATATCTGTATCTATATGGGTTATCTCTCCATGTCAGTAATTCTGCAGTTGTTACCCACTTTAGCACCTTTCTGTTTGGGGAGTGGTGAAGAGGGTTGGAGAGGGATTGAGCTATACATAGAAGCGACCTTTTTGTGTTCACGCCTCCCAAATAAAATAAACAGTCCCACCTGATAAGGGTGACCGTACATCCCAGTTTGACCAGGACAGTCCTGGATTTTGAAGGCTGGTCCCGCTGGCTGGTGAAAATTAGAATGATTATCCCAGAATTGCAGCGGTGCAGGCCCAGTCCGGTGGTGAGATGGAGTGGCCTGGTGTACCTGGCAGCTCTGCTTCCTCTCTGGACTGTGCCTGTGTCCTTGCCCACTGGCCTCTGCCATTGCCTGTAGTAGTGCCACTGACCTGGGGGAGCAGCGGGGGAGGAGCAGTGTCCCCGATGTCCTGGCTTTCCTTATGGTCATCCTACATCTGATCCATTTTAGGCCTTGGGGATAGAGTCCTCTGGCTCAATGAGAAGTATCAAAGTAGTAGCTTAAGAAATGGAAATAAGTCAATCAGGCAACGTGGGTCAGTGTGTGTGAGCGCACCTTGCAGCTTTGCCTCGATGTTGCTTCTCCTTTGCTTTGACCGTGCGGTTTCTTTCTTTTTTCTCTTGGTTTTGACCCAGGGAATCCAAACATTCCGAAACCTCGCCGGATCCTGCGGTCCTCATGGGGCAGCAATCCCCGCTTCCGCGGATCCTATTCATATACCCAAGTTGGGTCTAGCGGGGTTGACGTGGAGAAACTTGCCAAGCCACTGCCTTATACTGAAAGCTCCAAGACTACTGTAAGTATGGCTGGAAAACTGTCCCTGCTTCTGGGGTGTACGTGTGACACTGGGTGGTTGGCTTCTAGGGCTAAGACTGGGAGAGACGTGGGTTGGTCACGACTTTAGTCAGCTCTTCTGTGGCATACAGCTTACCATAATGCACTCAGCCTTTTGAGTGGCTGAGGGGAATGGCACACAGACTTCTGCCTCCTGGATCACTGACTTCCTGCCATCCAGAACCAAGCCTCGGTGGATGAGAGAACAGTGAGGGGAATGACCAGGAAATATGTTTTAAATATGATTTGCTGCATGCAAAGTCCTGTTCAAAATTGGGTTTTAAAGTGCATCAGCAACAGCTGTTTAAAATACCATCTATTTTCATAGCATGGAATGGGGATTAGATCGAAGCCCATACCAAGGGATAAATCAGAATGTGTAAAGCAATGGATTGGGAAACACTTCAGCATTGGTGTCCAAACAGTTAAAGAGATCTTGTCCCTCCCTGTCGAGTTCAAGCACTTTGGGAGCTCAAGAGTATATTGTAAAATGCATTAGCTCCTCTAGGCCAGTTCCAGCTGTGGGAATGTAGCTCGAACTGTGTAATGCATAAACAAGGCACATTCCCCCATCTCAGGAATTGGGGCCCCTTTCTAAAGAGAGGACTTGTCTAACTCCTGAGAGCCTGTCTTTTCTCTTGGCTGTAAGTACAGTCTTCCTTAAGTACAAGTACGAGAGATGCATGTTAAAAGGGATAGTTTAGATTTTGAGGTGTGCAGAACAAGATGGTGTTTGGCACTGCACCCTAGAAGGGTAAGCTTACCATGGAGACAGAGGGGCAGCAGAGGTGGCAGTGTTCTCAATGCCCTTGACCGTGGATGGGCTACCGTGGAATTAGAGGTGCACCGATATATCAGTAGCATTTCAGATTGGCACTGATAAAAGGAAAATTAACATTATCGGCAATTTGCTTTTTTTGGCTGGGGTAGCTGATAATGACACCGATAAATCCTGTATGCATATGTGCAGCCACAGCATTGCATGTGGCCAGGAATGCAGCTGGGCAGTGTGGAGAGCAGCCTCCGACCAGTAAGTAAGGGAGGAGCATGGGGAAGGGAAAGGGCCTGGGGGGCACACATTGAGGCCCCCGCAGTGAGGGAGGGAATGGGGCAGGGACAGGTGCTGCCCAGCTGGGGTAGGTTGGAGCTGTAGGCAGCTTGTCCGGGGGGACACATGGAGGTAGTGAGGGGCAGCAGCTCCCTGCCCTGTCCCTGCCCCACTTCCTCCCACACTGTGGGGGCCTTGATCTCCCTTCCCC